ATGGTTCACATTGCCACCGGTTGCTGAAAATTTCTGTGATTGTGTTATACTTATTCAATTACGAAATGAATCTAAGAGCTCACTCAGCTTCTAAAAATAACAAGAAGTCAAGTAAATCTGTTGAGCCGTTTCAAAATAATCTTTCGTACATATACGGAAAATTTATTATTAGGTACTTACACGTAGGAATGTATAATATGTACATACATATGTCACGAATAAAATGTTTTACAGCCAAGACGATTGGATCGGAGTTTCAATGTCAATAAAAACTTTTTTGATCGCACTCGCCTAAGCTGTAAGGTACCTACTTATATTTGACACAGATCAAAGTATGTTCAATCAAAAATGCGGAAATCTTTTTTATATTTTTCTCTCAATCTACATACCAAGTATGTTGTCAAGTTTCGTAACAAAAGACGTTCGTATTATTGTGTTGTCATCGTTAGTATGTTGAGTCGAATCAGGCGAATGGCGAACTCGACGGGGATAGAAATAACTCCTGTATTACGTAGGCCCGTGATATAAGGACGTCATATTGACATAATATTTGATATGTCTTTTTGTTCGACACATACGTTTTGTATATTGTATTTTATTGTAATTTGTTTATGTACTTTTTATAAGCTGATGTTTTTTGGCTTGTATCTAGATATAAGTAGGTACATCTGCTGCGCACGAGATCATTTCTTGATTTCGTTTCAGAAGTACACATTTTGATTGCATTCTGTTCAAACTATTATCTAAATAAGCAATGAAAATGCAATAATACAATATTAATTCAAAACGTTGAACTACTTTAATTTAATCCTTCATTAAATAAAGCCGTTTGTGGGTTGGAGCGACGTATCAACTAAACACCTAAGTAGTGTGAAGTAGGTAGTGCCTTGGGGTAATATCGGACGGATTTTCGAATATTTGCAAGGATGTTGCAAAAACTTTTTTTTCTGAAATTTGGTACACAGCACATTGATGAAAAATAGTGGAATCACTAATGATTCAACATAGTGTTATTTAAAATTTAATTTATTTATAAACACTCAATACTTTTTGCTTTATAAGCCTGTAAAATCTGAACATATTTTTTGTGAATGCAATGACGATTTGGCTATCAAGGGGTAAGTTCGGACAACAATTTAAAACTAGTCCTATTGCTAGGAGCACAAGGTGTATGAAAAGAATGTATCCGATCTTTCCTGTTCTTTAACATGGCATCAAAAAAATTTACCTAATACTACAGACATAGATGTACCAAACTATTATTTTTTTTGTGTGTGTAATTTGTCCGATCTTACCCCAAATGCCAAATTTAAAAGAAATTAGGATTCTCAAAGTTTGGTTTTACCCACAAGCATAGTGCCAAAAAGGAAAAGTAAGCGAATATTTAAGCGTTATAAAACTGAAATACTGTGCGGTTGGTAGAGAAATGAAGGGAATCGGAATATTCAAATATTAAAACGAATTAATAGTAGTATAAAACATTATATTCTAATAATATGAAATATAGAAATCACTAACAAGGAATGAACAAAATTATAATACTATATGTAATTAAAATTCGTCAATAGAAAAAAAGGAATATAAACAAAACAATTATACTTATCAAAGAATTGACAGTTCTCGTAGACATTTCAGGTTAATTGAGTTAAACATCTTCTATTATCAAACTGAAATCTTTATTAAACTGAAACGTCTATGACAACGATCTAGAAAACAAAAATCAAAACAATAACAATAATCTCTATCAAAATACACATTTTTGGTTTTTAGTAGTAATTACTAAGTGTGGATGTAGGTATGCCGTACATTTTTGAAGCGGCTGCATAGGAGAGCTCCATAATATTTATTTTCTGCATGACCAATTGCAGCGATTCTTTTGTATAGGTCTGGCCCGCGAAGAGGTTCTAGAGTATATACGTGGCATCTGCAAATGAATTGTTGTATCTATTCATTTAAAATCAATGTAGGTAATCAAGAAAACAGATAGCTGTAGAATCAAACAGTGTGACCCTGGATTTTAAGCGCCATAATAAGACGATTACGAATACATTAAGTAGATATTTAAAATGATGTGTAATAAAAGTTTGAAAATCACTGGCAATTTAGAAACGGGATAAGACCGGATATTTTTGTCCGATCTTTACTCGTGATGGGTAAAACCGGATTTCAGCTTACAGATGTAGTAGCCGTATCTGGATGAGTTTTATCATATTATCACTGCTTAAAACTTAGAATTTAGGCAAAACAAATCCAAAATAAGCTATACTTTTGCTAAAATATGTAAATTAAAATGCAGGTGAAAGATCGGATAAACAAATATTTTATAAAACTTACATGGTTTTCTTTAACGGCGCGTGGTACACGTCCGAGTAGCCGGAGCGACTAGCGATCACTGCGAGGCGGGGTGAAACATAATGACGTTGCGGGCAATGTGGCTAACATTAAAAAATATGGCCAAATAAGTGGTATATTTGATTCCTACGTTCTTACCCCAGCGCCGATCTTACCCCAACACACCTTAGTTATCTCAGATACCTGCTACCGGCAGAGTTATCAGATTGCGGACCCCGTAACGTGTACTTTGAATAATTCCAACTTCGGATTAACTCAATCACAGCGTTAACTTTGTTACAATTGGACCATTCGTCGTGGTGTTGTATGTAATTAAATCGTCGAAACCCCTTCTGAATCTATCATTGAGAAAGTTTTAACTGTCAATAATTCATTTAGAACTTTATGCTAACTTATACCTTCTTTAGGATCAAAGCGTGCCCGTATTCTTGATACGATTTAACCCAGTTGCTTGAATCAATCTCTGCCTACATAAATTATTTTAGATAAAAGTTTAAGAGAACTGAGTTGACTATTGTAGATTTGATGCTCAAGTCAAATGGTCTGGCAAGTTTATTGTAATACATCGGCAGTTATTTTACGGTCACGTTTCGAATTGAGTTTGAGTGCTCTGAGGTGCACTAAAGATAATGCTGTAACCTAATTATTCAGCTTACTAATTAGGCTGGGTCAGCTGGATGCTTGCTGACGACGGGGAAGGGAGCACCCTCGGCCGTAATCAAGAGTTGCAGTGTTTCAATTATTAGCTGGCCATTTGCTTGTTATTAGTCTGGAATTTCTAGCCACTTCCATTCCTGGGTGCTCGTGTAGTAAGTGGCGCAATAACGCCGTGACTGTGGCGGCCGACGGTACAATTGTATTGTTATAGGCACAAGAGCTTCCTCCACTCATAAATACTAGCTCGGGAATCAATGTCGACGTTGTATTCATCGCTTTGTTTTTCTTAACACGATATTATGTAGCACTAAGTGTTATTTCATTGTCTTTATGGTAGTTCTATTTGATTTCTGTTTTATTTTATCAAAGTTCTTGTTGATAGATTATTTTTGTTCGACAAAAACAATTTACGACACTTGTAGTCAACAATGTCTGACAATTGTTATTATTCGACAAAAGTAATATTATTAAGTAATTTATTTTTATTGAGAGTTGAAATATTGTTTCACTGTTATCACCAAAGTCTTTAATTCCTGTTTAAATTGTCCATCAGTTGTTGACACGAACAACTGATGGACAAGAGAGCTTGTCGGACATCATAAAACACTTGATCTATTAATCAAATTAAAAATCTGTGCGAAATAATTTCATTAATCTGTCACCTGTCCATATTTTACCGCTATCGGCGATTCAGTTAAATCGATTGTTCGTCCCGTCGTTGCAGTGATTGGTAAAATAATACGCCGTATCACGATTATATTGTGCTCGCAAAACACATAGGATAAGTTGGCTCCGTCTTCCTAAACTTTTCTAGTTCACTGTTATCTTTGAAATAAAAGTAAAGAAAACGAAATAAAAAAGTTTCCATCGTTACGCGGATTGAGATGATAGAGAAAAGGAATGTTATATTTATTGTACTGTTACAGCAGACCGCAGGATGTTGGCGTCCTGAGCCTCATTGATATTTCATTGAGTTGGCACAAGATGTTAATTTTGTATGTTTGTTATAATAACATCGTAACAACAGTAGGACTTTTTAATTGGACTCAAGTATTTCTCAACGCTTTCCGTAATTACATTAGTTTAATTTCATTATAATTTTATACTAAGGTAAGGTAAGGCCAAAGGTATGCGTGTTAAAAGGGCTACTTTGCTTAATTTGTGGAATTGTCTGTTGATATTCCCCTCATAAGCAAGCCAGGGCCGCGCTCCCTCTAACAATTATGTTTACCATGGACAAAACATGCTTACAAATTTTAATATTATTACGGACGGAACAAAATAATAATAATAACTGAAGAAGTTTAACGGTGGGTGCACTGTGAAGTCTTTTGTACTTGTTTCACTGTTTATTCTTGACGTTACGAACCATTTCCTAACCATTTAAACATAGTTTGTAGTGTGTATACGTGAAATATACATTTTACGTGTCTATTAGAATATACACGCTGACAAAGTTTCAGATGGCTATTGTTTACTATCTCAAAAGCGAGGAGGTACCTATTTTCCATACTTGGAATAACGTCTATGTGGAAATACAGACGTTATTTGTCCACATCAAGGATATACGTGACAAGGGTGGTAGAAAACCGATGGCTGAATATGGCTTCCAAATAGCTGATCAGAAAATCCATGGGGGTGGCGAAGTTATTTTAATCAATAGACATCTTAAAAAAAACCTTGACAAATTATATTATAACTTAACAAGACCCGAAGCAAACTCCATTTTGTCGTATTTTAAGTGTGAATAAAACAAATAGACATCTTACATATAATTTTAATCTTAAGTTGTATATATTTTATTATTAATTCAGTAATAGTAAGTGACTGCCTCGTTGGCCGAGTGGGCGCAAGTGCGACTGCTGGTCAAGAGGTCTCGGGTTCGATTGCCGGGTCGGGCAAAGAATTACTGGTTTTTTTTAAATCTCAGTAGTAGCACGGAGTCTGGAAATGTGCCCGGTATATGGCAATAGGCCAATATTACATGGGACTTATAACATAAATAGTGAAAAGTGGGTGTTACATTGTACAGTGGTATAATGTGCACCTCTGCCTTCCCCTTCGGGGATAAAAGGCGTGATGTTATGTTATGTTTGTGTTAATAGTAAGTTTTAATTTTATTTAAGTTTTTATTTGAATAAATTCTTTCCATCTTAGATATAGCTTATATGATATTGATGATGACTGCAATGATTTCTGTTTTAATTTTACTGAAGCCAAAGAAATAATAAAGGTTGTCGTTTCATAGTTTTTACCAAACTCTAAGTATTATTTGTTGCTCCGAACCATGATATTCATATGAACATTTGTCAAGTAAGCATTCTGAAATCCTAGTCTTGAAACTAAACTTTAAATAAAATCAAGAATGGACAGAGAGAAGTAATGCGGATAGGAGTTGCCTTACTGAACATGAGTGCAACGATAAGATCATACAAATGTGTCGTAACTTCTGAGCTCAGTCTAGCTTTATGAGACTTTCCGATTGTTTTATAAATAAGATAAGTTTAGATGTTATGCCTTGTGGGTGAATTATTGTAATCGATTGCCTAATACAGTGATTGAATGCACGGTTGGCGGGGTAGCTGGGCTACCGTCTGTCGGGCAACGTTACCTAGTGTGGGGCGACGTATTTTTAAAGTACTAGTAGTATTTACTGCCCCGTTGGTTGCGTGGTTGCAAGAGTGACTGCCGGACAAGGGATCTTGTGTTTGGTTTCCGGCCCGCGCAAAGATTTACTGTTTTTTTTTAATCTCTTTGGTAGAACGGAGTCTGGTAGGACCCATAACATAAATAGTGAAAAGTGGGTGTTACATTGTACAGTGGCTTTAAGTGCCGTAATCTGCCTGCCCCTTCGGGGATAAAAGGCGTGATGTTTTGGTAATTGACATACTTACATGTATAGCTATTTATTCTTTTTATATGGTTCATAGGGGCTTAATAACATGTTTTAATGAAGCTTGTAGACCAAACTTGTCAGGTACACATGGATCGTAATTTCGTATGTCAAAAAATTAAATAAGAACTATATAAATATAACTTCATGTTATTGAAGTTGTGTGTACAAAGAGCAAACTAGTAAAAAGTGCTTTTATAATAAAAATGGATATACTCATCCATTTTTTTCCATTTCCATAGGTAGGTCACCTATGATGAATTGTGAATTGTATTGCATGTAATATTATAATTTAAATGTACATCTTATTTAAATGTCGTTGCATTATATGTATTGAGTTACACTCATCTAAGTTGAAGACACTCTTGAGATGTTTAATGTCTTCGGCCATTAGAGATATCAGCTGTTCTTTGAACTCAAGTTGAAAATGACTAGGAGTTCCAGCATTATTGTATAATTTGTCTAATCTTAATCTACAGAAAGCTTATTCTGTAAAAAAACATGTTTTAAAGTTCTTTGTTTTAATGATATCTGTAAAGTCTTCTATATTTTATAATTAGTATATACAAACAAAATGTACTTTAAATAAAAGAAATTTACTTTAACACATTCCATAAACATTAATAAGCCCGACTGTTATTGACTACGCTTACGCTACGAGACGTAGCTGACATCCTTGCTACGGCGTAGTAGCCATTGAACTACAGCTACACAATTGCTACGAATCGCCTTGAACTTTATTTTATTCTACAGTAAAGTTCAAATTTTACAATACAGTTACGTAACCACACGCCGACTGAACTACATTAAAAACTTTGTTTTATTACACGAAAGCCAAAACAAGTGGGCGAAAGGAATGAAGACTTTCGAAATTAGTTTCCATGCAAAATTAAATGTCTTTTGACAGCAAGTTACGCTTATGTAATACGTTTCTTATTTAATTATTCCACAGCTTTATCTTTGTTGTATACATTTACATGTTTGCATGTCACATGGTTCGTAACAGCACGGCTCCGGCACGGCTGCGGCACGGTTGCGGTACGGTTTTTTGCTTTGGAAACAATACAAAATAGTTGTAAGCGCACTGTCGGCGTGCGGGCGACGCGGTTACAGCTTTTTTATACCGTCGCGTCGTTATGAAATATATCACACAACATACGATTTAAAGTCCATATTTAAATGACAAGTTAATTGCTGGTTTAAGTGTGCTATGAACTTTTGTATACTTGAAGATGTGTTTGATCATTGTCCCTTGAAATGTTTTAATACACATAAATTCTGTATTATTGATTTGTGGTTACAATAATTAGAACAGTATACAATAAAGCGTATGTACAATAAAAATTCTTATTGCGTACTTCGGTATGAGTTATAGATATACGAGAACGTACATAGTAATCTTTATAAAGATACTTGGTATATCTTTATCCACCCTAATTCGTATTTAAGGCTCGTAGAAAGCAATAATGTTCTCTCAGTCATGAAAATGAAGTTATAGGAGAACTGAGCATCCATGACTGACTTCCTACTCTTTAGAATATGAACTGAGAAAGTCTAATGTGATCTTTACGCTCTGTAATATCTGATATACACCTATATATTTATATGTGTGTAAGTACTAGCTGGGCCCGCGATTTCGTCCGCGTGGAATAGTTATTCACAGCTCCTCCTCCGTAGTTGATAGCATGATAATATGTAGCCTATATGTTGACTCGACTTGTTAGTAATATTAGTGCAAAATTTGAAATAAATCCATTCAGCACTTTTTGAGTTCATCCCGGACATACATACAGACAAACAGACAAAAATTCTAAAAACATATTTTTGGTTTCGGTATCGACTGTAGAGGTAGATCACGCCCAAAGCATCCTTTAAAAAGAATATTCGATGTACAGTTTTTAGTTTCCTACGATTTTATTATATGTGCAGATTTAGTCATGAAATCAACACGTTTTCCTGTACCTATTTTTATTTTTATTAGGTATCTTATTAAGCATTCGTTTTCTTGTACAGGTCATATTATACTTTATTTTACGAAGGAATTTAAAATAACTACACACTGAAACTGCAGGCTGCGCGTGGAAAATATATTTGAACTCGGTTTTTCACCTGTTTACCATAAGTTATATGAGAAAACAAGTAAAAATACTCCTTTATTAAAGAAAATATAGCCCGAAAAATAAAAACATATTTGACACTTAAATGAAAAGATTTAGTTTTAGAAATAAACCTCTGCAGGCATACAGACTCGGAACGTAATAAAAAAATATTTTTGCTCGAAAATAATAGACAAACTTTCTAAAATTATACTTTTATTTAAAATTAAAAAAAGGAATATTTGAGTACATTAGTCGAGACGTGTGGCAGTAATTTGTTCAGATAACTTTCTGAAGTTTCAACCAGTTTGCGACCAGTGTCAATATAAAACTGGAATTAGCTAACAGTGGAGGTGTTGGGAATACTTTCCAAGTATTTATTATTCCGTAGCTATTTGTGTGTGTGAGTGTTGCAAATAGAAAACGTATTGTCGAACGAAGTGATTTAAAAAGTAAAGGCACATTACCGATTAATGTGTTTAATTTGTAATGTTAAAATGTATACAGTATGTATCGATTCGCAATCAATGTATTAACAACATTAAAATAATTTACCGTATTAACATTAATTGTTAACAAAATTATGTACCTTTGGAAATAATTATTTAGCTGTCAAAAATTAATATTTGTAGCATTTATAATGATAGCTATCAATAAACTGATGTTATATAATGTGAAACAACACTGTTATCCTCTGCACCAGCTGTTAGATCAACAGTACATTTAGGCAAGCATTATATACGCCCCGTAGATGCATTCCCTAACCTCTGTCGAATAAACCGCAGTTTAGGTAGATTTCATGTTCAAAGAGCTTGTGTGTGTTGTACCTTCATATCAGCATATCAGTCCAATGCTCACTTCTCCCGTGTTCATCAATCCCTATTCCAAATATCGAAGCCGCTATTGTTCATACGAAGTCAGTCAGTTGATGCGGTCACTTCGCTACAAAATATTCAATCGACGAGATTTCACGCTAGGGGATTGTTTAGAAGCTACGAAATACTTTAAAAGTTTCTTTGGGATACACAACGAATTCCCGGACTAGACACGTGGGTTTAAGTCTTTTATAATAGAACTCTCTGTGTGCTAATACCAAAATTGTTTAAGAAATTAGATTTGTATTCTAGAAAATTTGTTCTAAAATGGAACTTTTAATAAACGAAAATGTACGTTATTTTGCTATCACTAATTATGAGTCTAATAGCTTTGATTAGCCGAGATGAATAATGGCAGTTAATGGGGGTTGCACGGGGACGTTACCTAATGGCGGATAATTATGTCCACTTAGTTTTAACCAGATTTATCTTGCAAAGTGGATGGTGTTTATCAGTATCGAAACCTGTCATTTGGAAATGTCCACCTTAATTACTTAACTAGATTTCACAGCATGTCAGCAATTTATGACTGTGATTTTAACGACTAAATTGTAAGTTAGATTTCCGTTTCTGCTAAATTATTGATACGCTTTTTATATCCCATTCGTGATAAAATTTGTAATTTATTCATGTTTAAGTATGAATACATAAGTAATTTTTATTATTTATGAATCTATTTAATAAAGCCTTTTATTAAAAGTCCTACAATCAGCGATTCTATTGGTAACGGGGGGTGTCCAGGCTACCGGTAGTGACAGCTCCAGCGACTGGAATTTCCTTTTCCTGACAGCCTAATTATTGTAAGACTAACTGTTATGAAACTATCATCATCATCATCGCCACTTCTCGCACGGAAAAGGTTTGAGCATTAATCACCACGATTTCTCAATGTGGGTTGGTGATTTCATACTCATAATTAACACTTATAATTAGAAATTATAAGCCCAAATTTCGTCACCATGTTTTTCCTCACCGTTTGTTAGTGGTGTCTATATAATCTTAGAAAGTAAATATAACTCGGAAAAAGTCACATTGGTACTTGCCGTTGGTAGGTTTCAAACCCGCACTCTCGTGCTTGAGAAGCGGGCGTCTTAAACCTCCGGGCCACCATGAAACTTTCATATGGAATATAATAACATTTTTTTTTATTTTGTGTACCATCCCGCATTCATATAATTTCGTGACTTTAATCAAGTTACTAATTTAAACAAAAAGTCTAAGAAGAGGGCAAGGAACAAGTAACTTCGTGACTTAGTAGAGATGTAAGCACAAGATGCAAATCAAGATAGGATTATGTTGATAGAAATACATAAGAACTACTATGTAGTATGCAGAACTAGATAATTACGGGCGTGTCATCCGAGGTGCTGGTTTGTATTCAGCGTTGATACTGTTCTGTTTCCTTTATCATCCTGTACTAAATTAAAACCCCTGACAAGCTAAAATGGCAATTGTTTCCATCCATTTAAACATGTGAAAAGGGATTCCAGCTTAAAAATTTTCACTTTTATGGCTACATAGCCGACAAGAGGATGATTTGTATGACGTTACAATGGCACTAACGAATCGTACTGTCGTCTTTTGTTGTTGCCGTCTTTGTCTAATCAGAAAACATTGCCATCATTTATCTTTTCCTTTTTTCAATAGATAAAATGTATGAAAGCAATGTAAATTTGAGACTAGTCAAAGCGTTAGTTTAGCGAAACCTAGTATTTGTTGAAAGTACAGTACGTACGTGTTTCGCACGATGCTCAGTGCTTAGATAAACAAATCAATATATCAACTAACTTGTAGCCACCGGGCATCGCTCATTTATACACCAGTGTATTGTATTGAAGATTGCTGTAATGTGTACATAGTGACGTATTGCTAGCCCACTAGTCATGCTGACCCACTTGCATCAACTGATGTCAACTGATTCGTTCTACTATTGTTTACACGCAATCAGTTGTTCTATTCCAAGTCCTATTTTACGTCATCATTAGCTATAAATGTAACATGAGATTAATTAGCTCTTAATTAGTGATGTCAAAAAGGTCAATCGTAAAATCAGCAATGTTTTTAGCAAGTTTATCGATATTTACCAAAATATCATAAACATAATCAGACGAGGTTTCACGAGAAGTCAATAAGTCTGACCCCGTGAATACAACCAGAT